ATAGATAGATAGATAGATAGATAGATAGATAGATAGATAGATAGATAGATAGATAGATAAAATAAGAGGCTTGGAGATGTAGGTCACAGAGAGCTTGTCTAACCTTCAGGAGACTCTGGGATCAATCTCCAGTTCTAAAGGAAATGGGTAGAGAGGGGCTGTGGCAGAGGTGGGGGTGTGGAGAGGGAGGGAGGGAAAGAAGGAGGGAGAGAGAATCCAGATAGATTTTTTAGGGTTAGAGTCAGGAGACTGCTGGAGCCCAGGTGACAGCCTGCAGCTGTTGGACGGTGGGTCCCCTAGCGCCGTGGCCCCGGTCCTCCCTGAAGCCCTGTAGTACAAAACGACCCGCCAGAGGTCCTGGGGAAGTCGGGCTGGCATGGGGCTGGACAGCTGCGGCCTCGGTTTCCCCTCCCGCCGGGCTGAGGGGCCTGCAGGTGCTCACGCTCAGCCCAGGCTGCAGACGTCCGTACTGCTCCGACACCCAGAAGCCGCGCCGGTCCTCCAGCGCCACGAAGGGCAGATCGGGGAAGCGCGCGCGGAACTTCCGGAGGAAGCCGCCCTCGAAGTCCGCCAGCACGCCGTCCATGTCCACCAGCACCCGCAGGGCGCGGCTGCCCGCCCGGCTCCGCTCATTCCGGACCGGAGCGCCGCGGGGACGCGCGCAGCAACCGCGCAGCCTGAGCATCGCCCTGCTTGCTCGTCGCCCTGGGTCCTCGGCAGACGCAGCCTTCGCCGGGGACACGGACGCGCAGGCTCCGGCCCAGAGCGAGGCCCGCGCGCAGCCCCGCCGCCCTTAAAGCGATACGCGCCGGGAGAAGGTGAGCGTGAACGCGGGTTGCTGCTCCCCCTGGGACATCCAGCCCCAGGTTGCAGCGTTTGGGAGAGTCTGATTGGAGCACTCATCCAGCTGTGGCACCTGAGGAAACAAACCTGTGTCCTTAGGTATTTATTGAGCAGTTACTTCGTTGGGCTGCGGCTCCAACAGACAAATTTCAGCCATCCTGAGGCCACACAAACAGATTGTGGACACAGGTATTTAAACAACTGATCATCCAGTTAGGGGAGGAGTTCAAGTTAGGCACAGGTAAAGGCATATATGCCTCTTGTGCGTGATCCTCTTGCTGGTTGTATGCAACCATGACTTTATAAAAGTTAAAGATATAAGAGGGTAAAAGGTAAACCTTCAGATCTCTCTATATATATGTTAAAAAGAGGACAGATGTTCTGTGTCCATGCTGACATCATTGGTTTCAACAATAAGTCTTCAAATATATCTATAAATTTGTTACTATGCCTGCTGATATTAAAAAAGGAACTAGTAAGTAGAAAGAAATATTTCAAAGGCTGTAAACATGAAAATATTTTAGCTGTCCTACCTGTTCTGGATCCCCAGCACCCACACCGCAGCTCATAACACGAAGTCCAATCCCAGAGGATATGGCGCCCTCTTCTGGTCACCTTGGGCACTGCATGCACATGGTGCACATGTCTACAGGCAGACAAAATATCCATAGTAAACATAAAAGTAAATAAGTACAATGTTCTCAAATATTAAAAAAGACTTTGTTCTAAAGTGTGATGGCTGAATTTTTCCCAAATAAGATGCAAAGTTAGACAGCTCACGTCACAGAAGGCCTATGCAAGATACATGAGGCTTGTAAATGAATAAGGCTAGCTAGAGGACCAGGCAATCTGCCGCGAGACTGTGTTTCCGTGAACTGAGAGGGAAGCGGCCGGCAGCGGCAGTGCACACTTTAATCCCAGCACTCAGGAGGCAGAGGAAGGCGGATCTCTGAGAGCTCGAGGCCAGCATGGTCTTCAGAGCGAGTTCCAGGACAGCTGGGACTACACAAGGAAACCCTGTCTTGAAAAACCACATCTTGAAAAACCACAAAGATTGGCTCTAGTAACTCAAGAACGTCATGGGCTCACTTCTTTCTCTCCTTCTGTATTTTGAAATACTGTTGACTCTGGGTACCACTAGGTTTCTGCGTTTGAGAAATTAATCATAGTTTTAATAAACCTTTAAAATTTTCTTCTGAAACAGGCATGCTAGCTCATGCCTTTAATCCCTGCACTTGAGAGGTAGAGGCATAGGCAGGCTGGTCTCTGAATTAAAGACCAGCCTAGTCCACAAATCAAGTTCTAGGCCTGCAGGGATTACACAGTGAGACACGGTATCGAAATTAAATTAATAAATAGATAAATAATAAACAAATAAAATGTTCATTTCTGAGAGACATGTGAGTATTCTTCCCTTACAGCACACAGCAGAGCAGATATCCACAGCATTTACACTGTGTTGGTATCACAAGTCACCAGGTGAGGGCTGGAAGTCTGAGGGAGGATGTGCATCTGCCACATTCAAACACGCCAGCATCTTTTATTGACCTGCCCAGAGTAACTCCACTCTATCCTAGTTTTAGAGCGCCCAATCGCTCCCCAGTCCACCACATCCTCCATGACAGACTGTTATTCTGATGCTGCCACAGCTGTAGCTGCCAGAGGTCTGCTGTTTTACAACATAAAACAAATTGTTTTAATCAGATGAATGGAAACCTTTAAAACTTGTGACTCCTGCTTTCCTCTGGTAGGATGTAATTGTGGGTTTTGACTTTAGAAACCCTCCCCTGACTTGTTCTGGGACTGAGTTCCTTGTGGCAGGAAACTGGTCTCAGTCACCAGGACTCTTATTGGCCTTTTGTATGTGGTCTCTAAGTGCTGAGTCTTGTTTTCTGGACACGTTTCAAAGGAGAAATGTTTTTTTTTTTGGGGGGGGAATTTCCACTACTGCCTGCCCCCTCCTCTAGGGTTATCTGCCAGTCCTTCCAAACCCAGCAGTGAATCTGCACATGTTTTTCTTTTTTGATGCTTTGCTTTTTAAAAGCTAGACAAAGCTAATAGAGTTATTGCACATGCTATAGAGGAGCAATGCTCCCCTCATGCACTATATTCTAGCAGAAGCAGTGGGAGAATATTCTCTTCTGAAGCCCCAAGCTTGTTTGGGTCTTAAGAATTTTGCTCTACTTATGAATCCTCTGGTCCTGCCAGTCACCCTGGAACACAACCTGCCCGGCTATAAACAGAAACAGATGACTGTTGGCCAGGTCAAGACCCATGAGCTGTAAACAAGGCCGCTGTTACCCTACACCCAGTTGTCTGTAACCTCTGCCCTCTCCTGGGTCTCATTCTGCTGAACCTGCATTTATCATGTGTCCAGATGCCTTTTTCTGTATCCACCTGGCCCCTCAGAGCTTACCAGTCTTCACCTTCCAGTAGAAGAATCCTAAAAATGGTGGCAATTGGACTAGACTACCTCAAGGATTCAAAAATTCTCAAACTGTTTTTGGCATCGAGGGTAGCCTCTGATTTAAAAGCGTTCCCAGCAGGTCAACATGGCTGAACTCTATTCCAGTATGTGGATGAACTACTGCTGGCCAGGTGGGTGCAGGAGGATTATATGGAATGAACACAACTGCTCTTTACCCTCCTGTGGGAAGTGGCTACATGATTTGAGAGGGAAAAAAAAAAGATCCAAATCTGTCAAATGCTTTTGTTTCACCTATCCCAAGAAGAACATTGACTCAGCCCAGAAAGAAAGCAGACTGTCTGGTTATCTGGGTTTCGCCAACCTAACACTAGGTTTGGGGAGTTCTTTGGGACCACAGGTTTATGTAGAATCTGAATATCTAATTTCTCTGTCTTGTCAAAAACCACTTTATGAGGCCATAAGGAGAAGAGCAAAACCCTCTGCTATGGGAACAAGGACAGCAGAAGGCTTTTGAAAAGATCAGGAAGCTCTCACCAATGTGCCTGGTCTTAGCACATTCAAACGTGTCCACACTCTTGTGCATGCATGAGCATGCTGACCTTAGGATGGGAGTCCTGACACAAATGTTGGTGTCATGGCATTATCCTGTGGCACACCTTTCCAATCAACTTAACTGCATTGCCCAAGGCTGGCCACCCTGGCTCTAAGTACTCACTGTTATTGCCATCTTCGTGTCAGAGACTGGCAGGTTGATTATGGGAAAAGAATTAATAGTCTTAGTGCCACACCCAGTACTGCCATTAATGGTGTTCAAGGGACAATAGAGACTGAGGAATGCCTGGATGGTCAGGTGCCAGGAAATGTGTGAGAACCTGCGGACTCACCCAGAAGTAGTGTGGATCTCAAACCCTAAGACCCTAGTGTTTGTTGGTCTAGACCAGCAAGACCATGACTACATCAAAGTGGTGGAGGAGATATTTCTTACCAAGGACTGTGGATGTTGAGTATTTCACCTATGGTAACAGTTTTGTGATAGGGAGAATATCTTTCAGGACACTTCACGGTCAACTTGAGTTCCATCATTGAGATGAAATCTCTGCTGTAGGGCCTGGTCTCCCCTTGCTCCTTGAGTCGAATTTCTAGGATGTTTCTGGCCAGCCGGCTATGCATCCTGTTTGCTCCTGTGCTCCCTCTGCCCTAGGCTGGTGATTAGCTGTAGGGCATTGTTTCATCTTTGGTATGGTAATTTCCCAGCTGCCCGGGAGGAAATCCTTGCAGCAGCCAGAATCCCCCCTGCCTGGGAGGTAATCCCTTTGCAGCAGCCAAAGTGTATTAGTTTTACAAAAAGCTGAATAAAGTGGCATTCGGCTGATCTTCTTTCGAATGACCAAGGTCTCTTGTGTGTTCTTTCAATCTCCAGGCCTTTGCCCGACTCGCATAAGGTTCAGTTGCGCGCGAACTGTACCGAGAGGGTAACACAGAATCGGGTATTACACTCTGCCAATGGGAACCTCAGCACAAAGGCAGAACTGACCTGAACCCTGTTGCTGGCAGCAGGGATGTGTGTCAATATATACATGGACTCTTCAATGTGTTCTCGCCACCCTCCACATTCATGAGGCTTTAGAGAATAAAAAGTACCTAAGCAACTCAGTGGTGGCGCATGGATCTCTGAGAGAATGAGGTCTGCCTGGTCTACAGAGTGAGTTCCAGGATAGCCAGGGCTACATAGTGAGAGCCTGACTCTTAGCTGGACAGCTCTTGAGGCCACACCTGACTGACATTTCTACATCCCTTGATTCTCCAGTGTAGCCCAGGTGTGCAGACAATGTACCATATTGCATGCAATAGCCTGCACTGGGGACCTAAGATCTCTTCTAAGGTACAGAGTGTCGGAGGAGTCCCACTTGAAAATATAGTTCTGGGCTTGACTGAGCTTCCCTCAGACTGACTGCAAGTGTCTGTTACTCTGTGCTTTCTCAGGCTGGGTAAAGGCCGTCTCTACCAACAAAGAGAAGGTTCAATGTCTCCTAAAGAAAATCATTCCCAGGTTTGGGGTCCCAATCATCAGAGGATCTGATACTGGGCTAATGTCGTGGCTGAGGAGGCACAATTGGTGACAAAGGGGTTGACGATCCGCTGGGGACTGGAGAGATGGCTCAGTGGTCAAGAGCACTGGCTACTCTTCCAGAGGACCCAAGTTCAATTCCCAGTACCCACATGGCCGCTCACAACTGTCTGTAACCCCAGTTTCAGGGGATCTGACACCTTCACACCAATGCACATAAAATAAAGTTAAGTAAATTAAAGAAGGAAGAAGAAGAAGAAGAAGAAGAAGAAGAAGAAGAAGAAGAAGAAGAAGAAGAAGAAGAGGAGGAGGAGGAGGAAGAGGAATGTGGTGAATGGCTTCTGTTAGTGTTCTTTTCCCCCAACCATACTCCTCTAAGTAACCCCAATAAAACTCACTGGTTCACCAATTTGGGCTTCCGTGGCATCTATACTAAATACCA